TGGGGTGGGATTATGGGGTGGGATTTATGGGGTGGGATTTATGGGGTGGGATTTATGGGGGTGGGATTTATGGGGTGTGATTTTTGGGGTGGGATTTATGGGGGTGGGATTTATGGGGTGGGAGTGGGTCAGGGTGGTGGCAGTGGGTGAGGGTTGTGGGAGTGCGTGAGTGTGGTGAAAGTGCGTGAGTGTGGTGGGAGTGGGTGGGAGTGGGTGGGGGTGGTGGGAGTGGGTGGGAATCGAACATTTGATATCGAGCATTAGACTAATCTTTTCAATTAAAAAAAAAATCAAAGTGAAACCAAACTATTTAGAGTCGTATAGATAAAACGCATAATAAATTGAATGATCTTTCGAATGATCTTTCGAATGATCTATGAAATGATAAAAGCTTTTCTTTTCTGACGTCGTAAAAACTTCATCTGTCAGAGTCAAGATCTATTCTATGAGATTGTTCATAAAAGATTGGTTCCATTTGTATGTCCAGTGCTTACATAATGAAATGATTAATTAATCAGCGGTTAGTAGTTACTTATTGAAATTATTTAAATGAAGTAATCGGTAATGGATGGTGAAATTATGTAATCGGTAATGGATTGTCAAATCATGAAATCGGTAATGGTTTTTTAAATACTTTAATAGGTAACGGATAGTTAAATGATGTAATCAGTAATGGTGATAAATGGTGTTATTGGTAAGTGATGGGTGAATTGGGAAGTTTAATTAAATATCTTCTCCCCCCCCCCCCCCACAAGTTTAAACATCCTGGTCGAAATGGGAATTCCTTCAGTAATTTAATGGACCCTATGCACAAGTTTCTGGACAGAATAACTAAACATTTCTGGACTCTGCCTATAGCTATGGCTTATCTTTGACTATAACTATGGCTTATCATTGACTATAACTATGGCTCATTATTGACTATAAAAATGGCTTATCATTGACTATAACTATGACTCATTATTGACTATAAAAATGGTTTATCATTGACTATAACTATGGCTCATTATTGACTATAAAAATGGCTTATCATTGACTATAACTATGGCTCATTATTGACTATAAAAATGGCTTATCATTGACTATAACTATGGCTCATCATCAAATATAGCTATGACTCATTATTGACTATAACTATGGCTCATCATAGGTTACAAAATAAACTTACAATCCATGTTATCTGGAGGCGGATCACTCCCAAAGAGGTCTTCGGACTCCATGAACATCGACGAGTTTCTCCAACCGGGCTTTCCCGAGCTGTCCATCCCAGCGATGTATGGATTTTTAGAACCATCGTTTCCATCGAGCCTTCCGGTCAAAGATTTGTTTGAACTGATCTTCTCTTGATTCGTCCACTGTAAGGGGGACTTTGTGTCCTCTTGGCCGGCCTCTCTGTCATCTGCGGGGGATAGTGCTGTTCCCTCTTGGGCCCCTGGGCTAGGTTCGTCCACAGCCTTGCCTTCTTCCTTCTCGGCAATGACACCCTCTTCATTATCAGCAGCGGCACCCTCTTCATTATCAGCTGCGACGACCTCTCCGTTATCCAAAGCGATGGGTCCCACATCATCTTCCTCATTACCGTCACCGCCCTTGACGTCTTTTCTTTCTTCAATGAGATCATCGTCATCATTGTTATCCTCCTCCTCCCTTGACGCGTTTCCTTCCTCCGTCATATCCTCCGCTTCAGAATCGTCCGTCTCCTTGTTCTGGTTGTCGTCTAAGGAGTCTTCCTTTTCGTTACCCAGTGTTTTCTCCACCGTCACCGAATCCAGTGATCCTTGCGTCTCTGACACATCTTCCGGAAGGTTTCCAGAAAATAGTTTCGAAGACTCTTCATCCGTGGGCACACTGTATTCCTCTGCTTCGATAAGTTCTGCTGCCTCTGGTAAGTCTTTTACCTCCGGTCCATTACTTAAACCCGTTACTTCCAATACATCTGTCTCGTCGGAGGCCTCTGTATCCTCGGGTGCCTCTGTTTCTCCCGGTGCCTCCTTCACTTCCGGGACATCAGTCATCTCCGGCGCCTCCGTTGCCCCCGGCGCCGCTTCTGTTATTTCCGGGAGCTCTGACCATCCCGGCGCTGCCGTTGCATCTGTTAGTGGGAAATTCGAGTCGTCTACTGTGGCAGGCGCTGTCGGAAGAGACCGTTTAACGATCTCTGAAACTTGTGACGTCCGTTTGTCACTTGCAATTGAAGCTTTCCTTGAATCTGAGATGCTGCCAATCTTCTGTGGAGGACTCTCAAACACAGGCAGTTTGTTTGAGGAGTCACCCCACAACGATGCATTGGACAGTCCTTCAAAAGCGTACACCATCCTACCATCAGGGTTTCTTTCAGTGGGGCCGCACGGGTCCGGCAATGTTATGGATTCATGATTGGCTAACTTTAAGATCGTCAGCACAATCGCTTTCATATCCTTGACACTCATGTTCTCATCCTGTCAACAAAAGGATAAACAGTCCAATAAACTCTCATCGCTCTTACGTGAGATGAGTGACAGCTTTTAGAACTATGATACTTGAAATGGTACGTTCTGAGTACTTGAATTGGTACTATCAGTTCTTGAATTTGTACTCTGAGTGCATTGGTTTTTAAAGAATTGCATTTTACCCTTGAAATTAATGTAAAATTCATTTGGAATTATTTTCAAAAAATATTTTAAATTAAATATCATTAACATCCATTGTTTGGAATGAATTTCAGACTTGACCAAAGTGAAATCACTGAAATGGCAAGTTAAAAATAGTATCAAAGGTGTATAACTTGAAATATATAGACGTATGGCTGGGGTAAGTGTACGATAAGAAACTGGCGCAGCACTTACATTCAGGTAGTCCGGAAACTGGGTCAGATCTTACCTTCAGATAGTCCAGAAACTGGTTCAGCTCAGTTTGTCCAGAAACTGGTTCAGCCTTTACATACAGATCATCAAGACACTAGTTTAACACTTACCTTCAGATATTCCAGAAAGTGGGTCAGCTCTTACCTTCAGATAGTCCAGAAACTGGGTCAGCTCTTACCTTCAGATAGTCCAGAAACTGGGTCAGCTCTTACCTTCAGATAGTCCAGAAACTGGGTCAGCTTTTAACTTCAGATAGCCCAGAAAGTGGTTGATCTCTTACCTTCAGATAGTCCAGAGACTGGGTCAGCTCTAACATTCAGATAGTCCAGAAACTGGGTTAGCTCTTACCTTCAGAGAGTCCAGAAACTGGGTTAGTTCTTATCTTCAGATAGTCTAGAAACGGGGTCAGCTCTTACCTTCAGATAGTCCAGAAACTGGTTCAGCTCTTACCTTCAGATAGTCCAGAAACTGGGTCAGCTCCTTCTCTATGGCGAACGCGTCCGTCTCACCCACTCGCATTTTCCGGGCGAAAAACTCCTCATGTTTGTCAATCTCATCGGCGGCCTCATTTGGTACCAACCAGTTGCCTCCCAGGGCAATATGCTGATCTGATGACCTGAATTTGAGATATAGCAATATGGAATTGTATATCAAATTTTCAAGATAATATTTCGAAAATATTCGTCTGAAGAGGCGCCGTTAAAAACGCGCTCAAGGTTTAGGTCCTAAAAGCAGCTGCCAAAAGTTAATGTTTAGCTCGCTTAAATCCAATTTTAAAACAATTTTTTTTATTTTACGTTAATAATTTTTTTTACATAATTCTGCATCTAAATGATCTTTCAAAAATCATTTTTTTTAAAAAACCTTTTACGAGATGCTTTGTTGTAGCAATTTATTTTCTAACTAGTCTCAATTGGAGGCCGACCGAATTTCGATTTCGGCGCCTAAAGTTATTATCTGATCACTTTCGGTATAGTTTCGGTTTCGGCCGAAAAAGCAAATTTAACTTCGGTTTATTTTCGGTTTCAGTCGAAAGCGATTGAAGCTAAAAGAAGTCAGACTGTCACTAATTCTGTCTGTCGGCCGGCAATCCGATATTCATTTTTGCTGGACTTCTTGCTTTTATCTTATGATAGACCATGAATCTTCTGCGCACACTGCTCACAGGTGCATGATGACCTACTTGTTAAATATTTCCAAAAATAAAATTACCATTAGGTAAATAGTTTTGTGGGGGGGTTGGGGGGGTGGGCGGGACTAAGGGAATTTAATACTTTAATTATTTTTTCCAAGTATAAAATTATGGAACCCTAGCATGGGCGCCCGCAGAAAACTTTCTGGGCGGGGGGGGGGGCAAAAAAATCGATTAACTTTCCAGGGGGGGGGGGGCAAAAATGTTTCAGTAATGTTTTGATATAGCGTAGCTATGTTTTAATATATTTACTGTAGCGTATTTGTATGGTGAACGAACGGACAGGACATCAGCTTAGTTACTTTCTCTTTAATTTCTCTTTACTTTAATAAATTTTTTGTCTATTTTTGTCTAAAAAATAAAAAATTTAACCAATCAATCTAGGGAGGGGGGGGGGCAAGTGCCCCCCCCCTTGCCCCTACCTGTGGGCGCCCATGAACCCTTGGTTTATTCAATTCATTAATTCAAAGGCGAAATGCAAAGTTAAATAATATTGTGAATAAAAAATTCAGAGAAAGGTAAAAATATTTTTTTTTTTTTGTGCGGGTCGTTGTTTTGTGACATAATTGGGACCATGTCGTTGGGACCATGTCGTTGGGACCATGTCGTTGGGACCATGTCTTTGGGACCATGTCGTTGGGACCATGTCGTTGGGACCATGTCTTTGGGACCATGTCGTTGGGACCATGTCGTTGGGACCATGTCGTTGGGACCATGTCGTTGGGACCATGTCGTTGGGACCATGTCGTTGGGACCATGTCGTTGGGACCATGTCGTTGGGACCATGTCGTT